TTTTATCGAAATTTTTTATTGCCATTATGCATAAATGTAGCTAAATTTTGTTAATGCTTCTTTGAATCTTTTATTTCAATCGACGAGGACTTGTTGACATAAATCTTTGACTTCAAATAACCCTATGGAAAGAAATCAAAAAGGGTTTAGTCAGATGTTCTAGAACAGTGGTTACCAACTGGCGGCCCGCGAAGCCTTTTTTTGAGGCCCGCGAGCTGAAATATATTAGTTGTCGTTTTTTTAGGACAATTTTGGTAAAACAAAACCTATATGGGATTAAAATATTTTTCTTTCTTTTGAAGAACCTAATTTCTTCGTTTCTGCAAAATTTAACATACCAATGGTGCAAAAAAATTTTTTTTTCAGGTTTTGCATCCAAGAAAATACTTATTCAAATACAAAAATAATCTTGTATGCTGTTCTTTTTATTTCGTTTATTTTTGTATTTAGTGAATATAATTTAGCATGTGCGTTTCAGAAATTTTCTCGAAAAATTCTCCCATTTAACTTTTTGAAACCACTCATTTTGGACGAAATTATTTACATTTGTAAATTTCAAAAAGCATGAAAGGGGGAACGAACATCATGTTTTACTTAAATTCCTTCAATTGAATATCGCATGAGCGGAAAACAAAATTAATTTCAGATGCTCTAGAGTTTTTTTTTTGTTGCTGCTATAATTCCTAATAAGTCGAAAAAAAGGTTAATTTATCACAGAATTAAATTTAAAAGAAAAAAATCTTGTCACTAAGTTTTTGATTAAGAAAAGATTCAAAATGATACATAACAAGCAATATTTGTCATGCTTGTTATTTTGCTTTTTAATATTAAAAAAATTTGATAAAAATCTGACAGTAATATTTAATGTTCCCTCAAACGTAGAAGAGTCCTAGGTAAAATTTTGATAAAGTTGCGGCCCTCCATTTGACTGGTGTTCCTAATTGCAGCCCCCGGTCACATGTAAGTTGGAAACCCCTATTCTAGAAGGTCAATTTTGATCGCCGGCAAAAGAGAATATATGACAGGGAAACGTCTCATGCAATAATTGGATTGATTCCCTCACTTATGACATATTGCACCGTCCTGTTGAAACCACTTGTTGTCCAATACACGTTGGAAACATATTGAAACATCCATGTATTGGGCAGCCAGTATGTTTAGCGTCCTCAATTGATCACGTCTCCTTAAATTTTTCAATAATTCACATCATAGTTGGTGAAGTTAATATTTTGATCCTATTTTGTACGAAATTTGCGTACTGTAGCAATCGAACTTTCATTATTTTTGAAATATTGTTCAACAATGAAAACGCTTTGTTCTTTCGTGTAGTGCTGCCAAACTGAATTGTTTTTTGGTTGCCATCACTAAATTAATGTATTTTCAATTTAATTCAAATCTTGTGTAAATTTTGGGACACCCTTTCCTTCTATCTGATTTGTTAGAAATACAAATAAACTTAAATTCTTGTGTAGTATTAAAATAAATTATAATCTTGTGCGTAATTAAAATTAAATACATTCTTGTGCGTATATCAACTAAAATTTTATTTAAATAAATTAAAAATTTCTTAAAAAAAGTTTGCAAGGAAATGTTTTAAAATTTTACTAATAATGGTTCATTTTTTGACTTAAATTTGACCAAAACATAGTATTTCTTTATTTACAGTGTTGGATTTTGTTCTTTTATAGCCGTTTCTCATTAAGAAATTGCTAGAAATCACTTCCATTTTTATTTTTAAATTTTGAAATTGTGCAGAAGTGCCTGGAAAACAAGTATACTTGTGTTCTTTTTCCCGAATAATAATTTTTTTACCCCTTAACAATCAATTAATTTTCAAGAAAACGGTCATAAAAGTGCCTATTTTTTTGGCTTTTGTATTTGTATTACGTATATGATTAGTGCTGCAAATAATTTAAAATAAGCTAACTATCTACAATTACTTTAAAAATATCCTGGTATTGCCATCAGGTGTGTAAAATGAGAAATAAAATTTTTTCCGGGCAAAAGAAATGAATTAGTTTTATTCTTATTGGCGCGTTACTACTGAACACTCCATCCCGTCAATATCACGGGAGCGAGAAATAGCNTTCTCTGGTGGTTGCAGCAGACAAACCTCAATTTTCTCATTGAATATTTTGTGTGCAACTATGTAAGTTTTAATACAAACTTTTTTGAAGTTTTATACCTTAACAATTAGATATTCACAATAGATTAGCAATAGATTAATAATAGATTAGAATTCTGTTGCACATTAATTGTTTAATACATAGGTGCACATTAAAGTTATTGTAGCCCACATTTTTATTATTTATTTAACATTTTTAAAAATATTATTAATAACAATTAAATATTTTAAAAAATCTATTTCTTATTTTAATTTGTAATTCAATACTTTTGTTTTGTACAACTTGGTAAAAATCTAACAGTAATATTTAATGTTCCTTCAAACATAAAAGAGTCCTACATAAAATTTTGATAAAGTTGCTGCCCGCCAATTGATTTGCGCTTTTAATTGTGGTCCCCGGCCTCATGTAAGTTGGAAACTCCTGTTCTAGAAGGTCAATTCTGATAGCCAGAAAAAGAGAATAGATGACAGGGAAACGTCTCATGCAATAATTGGATTTATTCCCCAGCTGTATGGCATATTGCACCGTCCTGTTGAAACCACATGTTGTTCAATACACGTTGGAAACATATTGAAACATCCATGTATTGGGCAGCCAGTATGTTTAGTTTCCTCAATTGATCCAGTCTCCGTAAATTTTTCAATAATTCACGTCATAGTTTGATCATATTTTGTACGAAATTTGTGTACTGTAGCAACTGAACTTTCATTATTTTTGAAATATTGTTCAACAATGAAAACTCGTTGTTCTTTCGTGTAATGCTGTCAAACCGAATTGTTTTTCGGTTGCCATCATTAAATTAATGAATTTTCAATTTAACTTGTAAATTTTGGGACACCCTTTCTTTCTATCTGATTTGTTAGAAATACAAATAAACTTAAATTCTTGTGTAGCATTAAAATAAATAATATTCTTGTGCGTAATTAAAATTAAATACATTCTTTTGTGTGTATATCAACTGAAATTTTATTTAAATAAGTAAAAGAAATCTTAAAACCAGTTTGCAAAGAAATGTTTTAAAATTTTACTAATAATGGCTCATTTTTTGACTTAAATTTGACCAAAACATACCATTTCATTATCTAGTGTTGTGTTTTGTTCTTTTATATATTACTCAAAGTCGTTTCATATTAAGACATTTCAAGAAATCACATCCATTTTCTATATTTTGAAATTGTGCAGAAGTGCCTAGAAAAAAAAGTATATTAGTGTTCTTTTTCCAGAATTATATTTTTTCAACAAGTTAATATAATTAATTAATTTTTAGAACATCAGAATTTATTTGCTGCAATATCTAACTTTATTTGTTGAATAAAATTAAAAAATAATTTATCTCACTAAATTTTATTTAATATTTTAAACGAAAAGGTTTGAGATTATTTTGAATCAATCGTGAGATTCAATTCAACTAATTGTCCTTTTATTCTAAATTAAATGTTCTAATATTGTTTTGTGGTTTCGATAATAAATAATTGTGTTTTATGGCTTAACCTGTTTGTTATTATTAAACCAGTACAAGTTGGTGGGAAAGCTTAACGGAGAAGTTCACTTCTAATGGGCTCAAAATATGAGCGTATTTCTTTTGGCAAAAATTTCATAATGGCATATCATTCCGATTCTTTGGTTAATTACGATAAAACGCTCGTTAAAAAACTTAGATTTGTGATGCACTAAATAAGTTGTCTATGCTCCCTGATTCACAGCTTCTCTTTTGCTTCGACTATCTTTGCCTTCTTTCCTTAAATCGCTGGAATAAACTCTTCCGGTTCGCTTGAGGCTCACTTCCCACCCGCCAACTTGTGGTTGCATAATACTTACTACAGTAACTTTTTCAAACATTTTAGTGACGATAGTGTTGAGAAAAATTTTAGCTTAAATGGAGTTAGTTTAAGAAACTGCAATTTTCTTACACTATTTCATATTCTTCTGTTTTTTAAAATTATTATTGTCATTTTAATTGAAATATTTAAATTAAATATGTTGCAGATTAGAACATAGTTAAATTAGAATTTTTTTTGTAAAAAAAAGATCGAATCTGTCCTTTCTTTTTTTAGAAAAATAAATTTCATGTATTTTCTAAAATACGATGATCTGAGATTTAGATTAAAAGTGGGTGTAGTTGAATTTTTCTGTTTAATGGTGTCCTTTAGATTAGTAATAAAAACTTTTTTTAAAGACAAAAATCACATAAATAAATTTATTAAACATAATCAAACGAACAATAAACACTGAAATGAGATATCAATTTTATACGTGAACGTAATTTTATCATAAAGAAGTCATAGATTTTTTCCTCAACTTTTTTTTTCATTTATTTAATAGCTACAAAAGTTTCAAACAAGAAAAATTAACTTTTCTTTGAAAGAGATTGTTCCGAAATAAATCTCTTTAACCTTAAGCCACTTTAGAAGCAAACACAATAAATGGATTTCCCAATGAAAATCCTATTTGCTTGACCAAACCATTATTTTAAAAAGTGACACATCAATTTATTCTGAGTTAGAAAAATTGTTCCACTGGGGTTCCACTTCCACTTTTATCGGGACGGCAAACCTTTATCATCCCTTTCAGAATTTTTATTATTTGTTTCTGTTCTAAAACACGCAGAATATGGTGGAACGGAAAAATATTTATTCCACCCAGGGATGACATCATCCTAATCACTTTATTTAATAAGTAGATATTCGTCTGCAACTTCCATTATGGTCCGACCCCCCAGGGGAAGACTGTGGGGCGGCAAAAAAATATAAATAACAAAAACTATGCATATCCATCTCAACGGAGTGTCCATTCTCTGCTCTCGCTGTTCCCTCTCTATGGATGACGTCACAGAATCACTGTTGCCACTTTGGAGCGTAGAAGTCGAAGCAGAGCCAGTCTTCCAGTAGCGATCGCACGCAAGGGAGAACAGTATCGTCTGCTGAGTGGTGGTCCGAGTTGTGATGTGCGTTTCCTGACTGTTCTTAGTTTCGTTTGGAATTAGTTTTCGAATTTTTTGTTTTATTTAAACTGATTTTAATTGTTCTTTTTTCAAGTGATAATCAAGTTTAAAATTCTATTTTTAGTACTGATAATTTATTTATTTTCTCCTCTATGATAAAAAAGAATAAACAAAATAAAGTTAAGGTCGTTATTCCAAGTTCCGCTTCCCCTTCCGCAACGATAAGTTTTGTCTTATGAGGAGCTGCTAAAGTGTTAATTACGGAGGTAAGATATTTCCTTTGTCATGTGCCATCCTTCTCTTTTTATTTATAACTCTTTTTTAATATCTTCATCCGCTGAACAGCATGGTTAAATGAAGTTTACTTTATTCCAGTTTATTTTTATTTCATTCCAAAATGTTATAAAATAACTAATTAAGAAATTTTTAATGCGCGGTAACTGCATAAAATTTAGGAAAACTCTCTAAATTAAAATGAAATATAACAGATTATTATTTTTTATTACGAACTGAAATTGAGAAAATGTTTTATATAACGTTTAATTTAATTGCCTTGATTTTTTTATTCTGAATTTAATACGTAGATATGAAATATTTTATTATTCAAATTGTATTTTACGATGAGTCAAAATTTTTAAAAATGTTCATTTAAAAAAAAGCTGTTTGAAAGAAAATAACGAAACCTAAACATTCCAGGAATTCTCGCAGAAATCTATTGTAAGAGCGAAACTGGAACTAAATGATTTTATAAATGTTTTTTTCTTCCTAAAAACTTCTTTCAGAAGATATTTATTATTGACTCTTTATTTGGGTAAATATAATTTTAGATCTCTTATTTTTAAGACCTAAAAATGTTATTATTGTGATTATTTTTTTTCCATGTAAATAAGTTTCCTTAGAATAAAAACCTTTAATAATGTAGTATGAAAGCTTAGTAATAATACAAAAGAATAATCTTAAAGAAATTCTTTTGAGAAAGGCACGATTTCTACACAAATATAAAATGTTATGTGGATTATGCGTATTTTTGGACCAAAAAAAATTAAAACTGAAACAATAAAATAAATTTAAAAACGTTCTATCTGGTAAAAATATTTTTCAGTAAAGAGAGTTGTTGTAGAATTAATATTTCTAAAAAGAATTGTGATAAATTCTGAAAGAATAACGATCACACACTGAAGTGTCTGTATCATATTAATTATTACTGTAGAATAAGTTTTTACAAAAAGGGACTTAATGTATATTATTTTATTAAAAAAATGGTTAAACTGATCCTGTGTGCTGAATTTTATACTTCAAAAAAAATTTTGACACAGCATATTGAGTTACTTCATGAGAAAAACGTTGTTCTACAACAGCATTTCCATGCCTTGGTTACTATTTACATATGTGAGTTGTGATGATCGAATTATTTTTTGACAATTTGAGAGGGGACCCCCCTCATTTTTTGACCCCCCCCCTATGAAATATGATGAAAATTTGCTGGATGGTGGCGAAATACATGTGAATTTGCTTTACGTTCTATAAAAATAAAGATTCGTTTACTTAAATATTGCAAGAAAAGTTGAAATTAAAAACTTAAAGAGTGCTATTGAAGTTTGCACAGTAATTTTGCACTTTTCATTTCAGTTTTCTAAAAAATTCCAGAAAAATTATTCAAATATAACTTTGAAAAATATTAATGTTAATAACATATGTGGCATTATTATACTGTATTTTTAATATGGCAGAGCGAATACGCCCGTTTCTTTCTAATAATTAATTGTACAAGTCGTACCATTTTATATTAAAAGTCTATGCAAATTATGGGATGTTCATCTTTTAAATAAATTCTATGATCCGATGTTAAACTGAGTTGATAAATTTCTGATTTAAAAAAAAGTTTCGTTTTGTAAAAAGTTTATCTTCATTTTTAAAAGTTAAGGCACTCGAAAGAACTCTGCTTTTTTATTGTTTGGAAAATTGTTAGAAAATTGAAACCAAAATTTAACACACGCCATCGCAAAAAAACAGAATAGCGTCAATCTTTACATATAGATGACAACAAATTAGCTTTATGATAAATCTTTTATTTGCATTTTTAATTATCATTTTCAAGATTTATCAAAAGCTCTGTGGGAAAAAGTACTAAGAGACATTAAAGTGAGGTTAAATACGATAGCATTGAAAATACATGTTGCCAACAACAGCAGGAAACTTTTTATAAAACATCGTTTCTCATTAAAAATAACCATTTTCGTCAGGCTCATCAGTTACTATTCTAAACTTAAGTGTTTTTAAGTATAGAATTTTGAGTACTTTTAGAATATTACTTAGCATATGTGTCTAAACAATTACAAAGTTACTGCTTTCTTCTCATCAGTATGCACTATTGTTCTTTTGAAAAGATTTTATTATTCGTCCCATTATTTTTGCATGCTTAAAAGCATCATAAATCAAAACATCTCCTTTAAAATTATTCCTATCTTAATAATTCGTCAGAAAACAGCAATTTAATTCACATGAATGCTCCTTACTAAAATTTATATTATAATTAAAATATCGTTTGCAAAAATTTAAATTATGATTAAAATATCGTTTGCGCGAATTTAAAACAAAACATAGTCTCCTATAAATTATGTCGTTTTAACTATTTATTTATTTTTGAAGTTTCAGTAGAGCATTCATCTTACAAATTGTAAGCATTAAATTCCTTTGCCAGCTTTAGCAAACAAAACAAAATTACGGTGAGCAAAGCATGAATATTTATAACTTGTTTCAACGCACAATATTATTTATTACCTCGATAAATTTAGCTAACGATCCTCTCAAGAAAATGGATGATTTGAAGAACATCTTTTTCTTTTCAAAACATGCTTTTCATCTCTCTATATTGCTTAATTTAGGGGAAAGGAATTATTATGCAGTAACAGTTTAAGCTCACTTTAGATTGATTAAACGCCATCATCTGTCCTGTTACTAGAATTCTTTTCACAAATTTGATTTATTAATTAAACGTAAGGTGATATGAGTAATTTAATTATTATGTTAAGTTTATTTAGCACTTCTTGAATTTTATTCTTGAGAATAATGTAGTAATTTTACAATAATTTTATCTATTGCAAGCTTCTTGAAAATAAAAATAAAAAGGAAAAGAAACTATGCGTTTTTCAAATCTACAGAATTATATATTTTTTCTTTGTATTCGTTCTAGTGGGATAGCTATAAAATTGGACTTTATACTTAGCGCAATTTGTAAATATTCGATAAAAAATTTCAAAAACTAAATTAATTTCTTTAATTAAAAATAAATTTGATTGCTTCAATTTACGCTCTAGGACTCAATCTTAAGGGCTCAAAGGGGTGACCTCAAATACGTTAATAAAAACAGAAAATATTTTAAGTTACAAAATCAGACACAAAAACGTACTTTCGCTGAGTAAACATACTTCTTTTTCCGACGGATTCGGATTTCTGACACCCAAAATACAGGGCGTAGCCGCAATCTGGGAAATATGGACCCCATTGTTTTGTCAGGAGAGCGATATAAAGTTCAGATCCTTTAATGTTAATTTTACTTTTTGTGTGTTTCGCCATATCACGAGAACTTTTCAAGCTAATTAAAAAAAATTTGCACACAATTATAAACTTTGTTTGTCCAAAAATAATTCCACGCAAAAGATAAATTTTAAAAATAATTAGTATTTTTTATTATTTTTTTAATAATATTTGAAATAATTTTGAGTTGTAAAGTATATATTTTTTGCATCTTCTTAAAGTAGGTAATTTTACACGGTAAAATACATAATTTGAGCAAAATTGGTCGATTAGTTCCTGAGAAATCGAATTTTGAGAAAGTTGTAGAGTTAAAATTTGATTTCTCAGGAACTATTCAACCTAAAATAATAAATATTTAATTAAATTTATCTATTGGTCTATTGAGATCACATGTTTTGATTTGGCCTTTGGTCTGTTGGTCAAGAGAGTGTTCAAAAGTTTGGAACCTTTAATGTTAATTTTATTTTTTGCGTATTTCGTTATATCTTGGAAATCTTTCATTATATCTTGAAAGACATAAATTTTTTTTACGTAATTTTAGAGTATGTAATTTTACATAACAAAATGCGAAATTTGAACAGAATCGGTCTAATAGTTAATGAGAAATCTAATTTTAAATATCTGGCTTTTTTGAAATTCAATTTCTCGGGAGCTATTTGGCAGATTTTACGCGAATTTTCTATTTTGTCATGCAAAATTATATGCTTTAAAATGATGCAAAAAATTGTATACCTTACTGTTCAAAATTTTTTTGACCATTATTAAATAAGATAATAAAAAGATTCACTAAATGTTATTTTTTTGCATGGAATTATTTTTGGAGAAACGAATTTTATAATTGTATTCAAAAACTTTTCTAATTCGCTTAAAAAGTTCTCCTGATATAACGAAATACGCAGAAAGAAAAATTAATATTTAGGGACCTAAACTTGGAATTGCTCTCCTGAATAAACTATAGGGACCACATTTCCCAGATTGCGGCTCCCCGCTATATTTTGGAGGTCAGAAATCTGAGAACACCGAAAAAAAAAGGATGTTTATTCGGAGAAGGTACGTTTTTTGTGTTTGATCGTCTGCACTTATTGATTAGCATTTTTAAAGTCACACCCTTAAACCATTGAAATTGAGTTCTAGAACGTCAAGATCCGATCATTAGATTAAAAGTTATTTAGGGTGGTCTGTGTTTTATTCTTTTCCGCTTCTTTTTTTTTCTTGTTTTTTTTTTTTTTAATTTTCCACAATTTAAATGGGAGGTCAGATGGCGATTTGGTATTAATGATAAGAAATAGTTTATGAAATTGGAAAAAGAAACGAAAAAAAAAAAGAAAAACGCCGATAACGAATTCGAAAACATTCCTGCAAAATTGAAAATATTTATCTGAATTTAATTAAATTCTATATTGCGAATCGTATTTCGCAAAATCTCATGAGATTTCGAAAACATTTAAATTAAAAATATTTTATCAATGCCTCCATCTTCGCCGTTTGTCGCTGTTATCGGAAAGTTTCTACCTCGATTACGTCTTATTTACTTTCTCTCTTTCCGTCTGTATCACGAAGTTGATTTCCAAGCTAGCTTTTACGCAAGTGCAATTTGATATATTTTTATTATAGAAGGAAATAGGTGAATTTCGATCTGTTATTATTGGTGTTCCTAAGAGTTGGAATGCGTTGCCTTCACTGAAATTTTACGCAACTTTCGTACTTAGAAATGTTTATTGTACGCAAA